TTTTTTATTATTTTATTTTATTTTACAATGATGAGGTGACGATGGAATTAAATTTGATACGCTCAAAATAAGTTTTTCTTGTTTTTTTTTTTTTTTATTTACATTTGGTTTGTGTGTTCGTATTTCACAGAAATGAGTATTATTTTAATGATAGATTTTATTTTTCCAAAAAAAAAAAAAAAAAAAAAAAAAAAAAAAAAAAAAAAAAAAAATTCAATTAAATCGTACCGATTTTCTTTTAACGTTGCGATCCTTTTTTTCTTTTTTTTTTTTTTACTTTCTTATTGTCAATTTTTTCAAAAAGTGGCGATATCGAATGATATCTTATAGAGTTCTGACTTATCGACGATATTCTACGAATAATATTTATTTTCTATTCCACAAGAAGGCAGCACTTTGGAACAACGTCGATAAGTTGTCGGTAATGTACACTGTCGGTAAAAATGTACACAGTCGGTAATGTCCCAGTCGGTAAGACTTACTCGATAATGATGAATTTCTATTATTACTTTTCCCCGTCGATAAATTAATTGATTAATTAATAAAAATAATAATAATAATAATAATAATAATATTTTGAATAAAATAAAGAAAAAACTTGAAAAATTTCATTTCCTTTTAAGCAAAAATTCAAAAGTTATCGTTCTTATTGCATTATTCATATACTTTTCATACTATGTATTGTATATATATATATACAACCTACTTTCAATAAATAAAATTATTTAAACACACGTTGAGCACCACGCCCATTTTTAAGTCCCCTGTCAGGCCACGTGTGCCACTTAGAAATGTCATATTATACGCTGTCAGTCAGTGGTGACTGACGCAGCTTAAACCAAATGTCTAATGTCAGCCATCAATGACTGACGTGGCGTATCAACGTGTTAAGGATCTCCCGATCCATAATAATAATAATCCCTCATAATAAAAATCAATTTTAAACAACTATACGAGACTAGTATTGCGTATTACGAGAAATTCTGGGGGAATTGATAAAAAAAAAATAAAAAAAAAAATAAAAAAACAACAACTGTGCGCTGTGAGCTTTGGTGATGTTTCCACTTTGTACGAGATAATTTGCCTCCTTTCAACTTTTTTTCAATGGCAGTAACAATCCAAGGATACCTCCGACTAAAAAAGAAGAAACACAGAAGAATGAAAAAAAAAAAAACAAGAAAATGAAAAAAAAAAAAAAAAAACCACAGATCATAAATCAAAATCAATCGATATATATCATCAATTAAATGTCGTCGTAAAAAAATGCTTTTGATCTAAATTACAATTGCATAATAAACAATTTATCACGATAATCAAATTATGAAATGAAATGAAATGAAAAGAAAAGAAAAGAAAAGAAAAGAAAATAAAGTAATAAAGATTATCAAAAACTTACCGATAACAATGCTTCCAACCAAGAATATTGGTACCTCGCAACTGATATCGAGTAACATACCAAAGGCCAAATTACTCGCGATGGCACCTAACCTACCGAAGCATGTCATCATGCAGATTGCTATCGCACCAACATGCGTTGGAAAAATATCGACCACTATGCTTCCTATTACAAAATTAGCAGTTGCTATTGCCAATGAAAATATACAGGTAACTACCAGTATTTGTATCGATGATTTAACGAAATATGTCGCCAAACCAAATATTCCTGCTACCAACATCGTTGTTACTAAAAATTACAAACAAAAATAAGAATAATTAGTATAGTCATTAAAAAAAAAAAAAAAAATAATAATGATTGATGATTAATAATAAATGTAATAATAATAATAATAATAATAATCGTAATGAGATAATTGATTTATTCACCTGGTATGGTTCTACGACCAACACGATTTATGAAGTAACCAGATGCTATATTACCCAATAAACAAACAGCATTGATCGTTAATGCATTAATAAAGACCTTCTTATCCATAATGCTAATACATTCTTCAGTCTCATTCATCAATGGAAATAGGATAACAGATTCATTTAACATAGTTGGTTTCATAGTCGTATGATTCGATGTATCAGTTTGCCTTATTAAATCGCAAACGGGTATGCTTGCATTAGGATGAAGATTTTGATAAATTTCAAAACGATTGAAAAGTTCTGGAAGCCATAAACCTAATCCGTAATAACTAAAAACATTAAAACAATAATAATAATAATAATAATAATAATAATAATTAAAAGATCTGAAATGATGTTTGTTCGTATCTGTTTGACGATGGGTTTCAATGAGGGTTTATTGTAATTGGATATTATGAAGAATTTATAGTTGAAACGTACCCAAACATATTGGTGAAGAATATGGTCCAGATAAGTATGGCGTATTTTAAAAGTGGCATTGACGTAATAAACTTCAATTGAAACCATATATTTTTTAATAATACTGTAAATGTGTTTAGGATTGATAATGAAGTACCTTCTTTCCCTGATTTCGTTATATTCTCGGATAAAAGAATTTTCACCTGTATGTTTATATATTAAAAATATATATGTTATATAGTTTATTAATTAATATTATAATTATATAAATTAAAATTATATTATATTTATTTACTAGGGATGTTCGGTCACGTGTTGCTGTGGCTCATAATCAGTCCGATACACACGTTTTTAAATCAACGAATTACCTTATACCACCATCTCTTAGAATCTTATCGAACTAACAGAGATAATCATGACTCGTTTGTTAATAAACAAATAATTGCGATTATAAATTGAGATATATATATAAACTATCCTATATTTCAAGTTGGATGAAACTGCACACAGTGTGTAAAATTTGATTCAAATTGGTTCAGTAGTTTAGGAGTTCATTGCGGACAAACAATGTGACACGTAATTTATATATATTAAGATATCCTATCTTTCAAGTTGGATGAAACTGCACACAATGTGCAAAATTTGATTCAAATCAATTCAGTAGTTTAAGAGTTCATTGCGGACAAACAACGTGACACGTAATTTTTATATACATTAGGAAGATATAATTATAATATTAATAATATATATATATAATAATAATTTATATATTTATCTAATTAATTAATAATTACAATTATTAATAATATAGTAATTAAATTATTGCGTATTTTGTGGATAGGTGGCTTTTTAAAATCAGCAATGATTTAGTTACCAACCTAATATTATTTATTATTTTTATTTAATTTAATTGATTAAACAACATTCTCTTACCGGAAAATCATCTTCCTTTCTGCCAGTATTAATAGAATAAATTTTTTTTAATATTCTCAAAGCTTCGTCAGTTTTGCCAGAAGATGTTAAAAATTTCGGACTTTCAGGATATGTAAATGTAACCAATGCTACCAATAACGCCGGTAAACTTATCGTTGCTAATAAAAGTCTCCATGAATTGTATGCAATACCATTGAATTCAATTGAAATTGTCAGTGGTATGATTACCCATGCTAAACCTGTTAACATAATTGATCAAATGAAAATTCCTTAAATGTGACAAAGAAAACTTAAAAAAAAAAAAAAAAAAAATAAAAATAAATTACCAGGTAATATCAGCCAAGATAATGTCCAGAAAAAGCTAACGTAACAAATACTTTTAGCTCTGTACTTTTCTGGATAAAATTCACCTAAATATGTGTAGATCAATGATCCTGGTGCACCAATTCTGTTAAAAAAAAAAAAATAAATAAATAAATAAAATAAAAATAAAAAAATACAATTAAAATGATCAATCGACAAATTCTGATTTTAATTTTAAACAATTGTTTTAATATAACATACTAAACTAATTAAATACTAATATTTTTTTTATTAAATATTAAACTAATTAAATACTGATATTTTTTTTTATTAAATACTAAACTAATTAAATACTGCTATTTTTTTTTTATTAAATACTAAACTAATTAAATACTGATATTTTTTTTTATTAAATACTAAACTAATTAAATACTGATATATTTTTATTAAATACTAAATACTAAATTAATTATTTAATTAATTTAATTCAATACTAAATTAATTATTTAATTAATTTAATTAAATACTTATTAAACAAATAAAATACTGATTCAATAATTGAAACAATTGTTTTGTTCATTTTTACGATTAAATTTATACTAACGTGAATCCATTGATGGCACGGAATATTAATAAAGTGTTGAAACTTTGTGAAAAACTTGAGATTATTGATATAATACTGTCACTAATAAGTGTCAATAATAAAACGTTTCTTCTACCATAAGCATCAGCAAAAATACCCCATACGAGTGAACTGATAACACCACCTAAAAATGAAACAACAAATATAAGAAAAAAAAAAAAAAAAAAAAAAAAAAAAAAAAAAAAAAAAAAGGATGATTTTTTTCTTTTTTTTTTTCAATCATAACATTTATGTAATCAAATTATATTATTATTATTATTATAAATGATGTGTGATGTGAACTAACCAATAAGAAAGCCAACATTTAAAAGACCTTTATCTTCGGAAGACAATTTTAAATCGCATTGTGCCGATGGTAAAATGTACGCACTTATTCCATTTTGAAAACCTACGGAAACGAACATCATACCGCAGAGGAACATCAAACCATAATGAAACCTTCCGTATCCTATAATTTTGTAATTGAAACAACCAAAACAAGACAAGACACAAAATATTATACATTTGATATATTTACAGTTTGACGAGGTAATTGTTCAAATGTGCCCATAAGTATGAAAGTGGTCTAAGTCATGTATCTCTTGTTTCGAGATATTTCAAGATTTTTATTTAAACATTTTATTTTATTTTTTTTTTATTTAAAATAATGATTCCCTTTCGGGATACATGGGGTGCGTCGACCAGTTTTAATATAATACCTCTTTACAAATATACATTTTTACAATTACACCTATACACAAGTACACCTTTATTAACTTCTTCTTACTACCACATCCTCTTAACACCACTCTCTCCTTCTTTTTATTTAAACATTATAAATGAATTCTATGTAATATTGAAATAACAAACATTATCTGACAATTGATTTTTGACAAATATCGTTTTCAAATTATATTGAATTTATTTAATTTAAAATAATGTGGCGCGTAATAATTAATAAACTGATTTTTTTTGTTTTTTTTTTGTTTTTTTTTTTAATTTTGACTTAGACCCACTTTCATAATTATGGGCACAAATATATTATATTTCGTATTGGAAAATATTTATAAATAAAATCAAACAATAAAAAAAAAAAATTGTGTAATTTATAAAATAATACATTATATAGAAATATTTATTTTATAAAATAAAATAAAATAAAATAAAAAAAAAAATACAATAGAATAAAAAAAACAATGTGTATAATTTATAAAAAAAAAAAAAAATTATAGAAATATTTAAAAAATAAAATAAAATAAAATAAAATTGAATAGAATAAAATAAAAATATGGAAATTATAAAAAAAAAAATACATCACAGAAATATTTCATAAATAAAATAAAATAAAATAAAATAATAATGTAGAATTTATTTAAAATATAAAAAATATATTTTGTGTTTTATTACCGACTGAGCAGCAATGAAAAAATAAAAAAAAAATAAAAATAAAAAAGAAATATATAT